ATGTGTTAGAATCATAGGAGTTTTCAATTCCTACATTTTCTGAGCTACGTTTATTTTACTTAGATCAAGTTCTACATTTTCTAGGATCATTTGTTATACTTGGTTTTGTATAAATCTTGGTAAGCCACTTTCTCTACGGGAAGCGCTGCCGAAATTTCTACAAAATCAAGGAGTTACTCCCATATATGACTTAGTAAGAATTTAGAGAGTCTCATTTTCTGAAGGGAGAGCTGCCCAAATTTTTGCTAATGCAGAGAGTTAGATAAAATTGAACCTTGATAAGTCAAAGTCATTATAGATTCTGAACTTGGCTTTGTATAAATTTTGGTAAGCTACTTTCTCTACGGGAAACATGCCGAGATTTTTGCAAATTCAAGAAATTAGTCAAAATTTGACTTTCTAAAAGTTCAACTTGTCTGATTTTTATATATGTGGCTTACTAAAAATCTGGGAAGTCTCTTTTTCTAAAGGAAGTGCTGCCCAAATTTTTGCTAATTCAGGAAGTTAAACAAAATTTGACTCTGGAAGGTTGAAGGTTATTTCTGTTTTCACATTTAGGCTGATATAAATTCTGAAAAGACATTTTTCCTACGGGAAGCGCTGTCGAAATTTTCTAAGGAGATGGATTATATTTTGACAGGTGGCGATTCTGGCGATCCACTTTGAATAGGGGAGATTATGTCGGGGTCTACCTTTGCTTTGGGCACTGCTTAAGCGGTAGGTTCAGGCTTAGTTAATTAAAAAGAGTCTTGAGTGAGAACGTGTCATGGGGATTTGATCTCCATACATTGACGATTTACTTTGGGTCAATGACCTGTCTTATGATACAAGTCTTCTTTGGACACTCGATTCAGAATTTTGACAAAGTTCCAGCCTGATCCTACGAGGATCATATTCTGTTATCACTGATAACATGTCGCTTGGATGATCGCCGATTCGTCGACTCACAACACAACTTTGCTTCTACCTGTACCTCAACTTGATTACCTTAGTCCTGAGATTTGATATGTTTCTTTGAGGGTTTTAACCGAATTTCTTTTAAATGGTCATTATAAAGAACTTGTGAGATTCATGGAGATTTTGATTATGACCGGGGCTTGAGTGCGTGAGGCGTGGTATGAGCTACAGGAAACAGTAAAGTTGCCCACATTGGTGTATGGCAATGTCGCTATTGTGTGTGCCTGTGTTTTATGCAGGTTAAGTATTTTGGAGCTTGGTATATGGGTCTTACTTTAGAGGTAATGAGAATGGCAACCATGTGTCGTACGATGTGCATACCTGATGGGTTTATATTTTTTCCCTCTTTTGTTATTATCTCAAGTCCTGATTTGATATATGAGTGTTGGGATGATTATTTATCTATTGATTAATTTTGTTTGTTAATTTTTATAGTTGGACGTTGTAGTCCGTGGCGGTCGTCAAAGCCAAACTCCTTGACTTCTTCCCAGGCCTAGAGTGGGGCTCATCTCCAGGGCAGTAAGAGACGACTGCCACCACAGGTACGGGCCTGTGTACCACCCACTCTGCACAGAGTGCAGAAGAGGGTGTGTGGTCTTCAACCGCACATGGCGTGTGTCAGCCGACACTTGAGTGTCGAATGCGACCCTCGAGATTAACGCGAACCGCATGAGTATGGGTACTACATGGTACGCCATCATTGCGACTGCGTGCATACGTTTGCATTGCTAGTCGATATGAGTAGGCCCTGCGTCCGCGCGGTTTTATACTAAGTCCCGCGCGAGACGCCTATCCGATTTCCGCATCGGAAAGTTATGGGATGGCTACTGAAGGGACTATGAGTGTTGTCGCGTTGTTCGGTGTATGTGCGTGTGATTTATTTTTATGTTCTTTATAGTGGTGTGCTCGTGGTGTGTGGGATGCGTCCTAGTCGACCGGCGACAAGTCGCGCTTGGGATCTCAGCCCCCCAGGATGCCGGTTCGCGTGCGGGTCCGATTGAGGCGTAATACCGCGCGTACCCCTTATGCTACAGCGAACGAGAAACGCCCTCGGCTGGTCCACCTCTGCGATTGCAACTGATCAACTTTCGTATTGTGGACTGGTAGCTCGGCGGGGATACGCCCATCGAAGGGAGGTGACAGCTCCCGTAAGGTGGAGGTAAGTCGTGCCTCGCGTAGGCCATATCCTGTCGTAGGGGCTTGCGAGAGGTATGGCTCGCGCACTCGGCCAGAGCGGCTTTGTGGAACCTCCATGAAAATTCGCGACGAAGGATTTAAACCAATTCCTGCATGACGCGGCCGGGAGGGTCCCGCGCTGCCTCTTGAGGTGCCGGACCGATGAGCTCGACACCGTGCCCCGAGTGCCAGCAGCCCAACGAGCACGAACAGACGGAGGCCACGCGTCAGACTCCTCGCCGGAGAGAACGTCGAGAACCCAGCCCATCCTCCTCGTCAGACTCTGACTCTGAGTTCTGCGTCGGATGGCAGAGGTACGAGCATTCCCACAGTGACGCTCGCAACACCCCGTTCGTGCACCCGGCTCTTTCCCGGCCTAGGCCGTGGGAACGGCGCCCACCCCAACTCTGAGCTAGAGGAACCAGTTGCACTTCTACCCCTGAAACTTGACACAAAAGATTCCAATTCCGACCTGGTACTCCACCCCCACATTCCAAAAATCCTTGGCACACCCCTCTTCATGCTTTCAGGCCCACTAACACTCCGAAAATAGGAAGTCGCGTTGGGCGTGAGGTTGGTATCGGAGCCGACACATGTCAAGACAACGGATTGACAAGTTGCTCGGCTCTCTAGATCAACCGATCTGGCGACCCCAAAACGGGGACGGTCTGCGCAAAGGAACGCGTTGACACGCGAACTTGTAGTGACGAGAAGCAGGTCTTCGGGCAGATCGGCAGACGACGTGAATGCTAATCAGGCAAACGCCAATCAGGCCCCAGCCAATCAAGCACAAGGCGGGGCAGGGGGCGGCCTGGGGCTTGCGCCTCAGTCCGTGCCTCAGCCCGTTCGTGCCCGCGCTCTAGCAACCCCGCCAGATTTGTATTTATTTGATCCCGCGCACCACCTAGCAGGAGCATGGCTTGCCATGCTCCGAGCGCAGCAGTACGATAATGATGAAGCTAAGATTAACATCCCAGGCCGATTAGGAGGCGACGCCCATCACTGGTTCAGCACCTACGTATGGACTGACCTTCCTACCTTCGAGCGAGACTTCTTACACCGAAGTGACTACATACATCCAGAGCAAGCGTTCTTTATGATCAAAGACAGAATGCAAAAGCCCCTCGAGTCTGTTGCGGAATACCGTAGGCGGTTCTACCGACTGTTTGTAAGATCTCATAGGGACGAAAAGGTAGGAAGAGAGTTCTTCAGAGATGGACTTTGAAGCAGAGCTATACGTGCTAAGATACGGAAACAATTCTCCCCCATCACCTTCACCTTGACGCAAATCATGGACGCAGCAGAAGAGATGGAGCGAAAGTTCGCTGCTAGCTTCCTCGAGGGAGAAGATCGCGCTAAAGAAGGTGACTCTACGGAATTGACCCGTGCAAGGATGGAACTAGCAGCCCTGCAGCATAAGTTCGAAAATATGGGCTTCGTGTCATGCCCTGTTACCTACCTGGAACAGGTGGCAGCCTTACGGCGCCCTCCCGATCAGGGAGCACGACCATCGACGCCCAAGGCGGCTGCACAGGCAACCGCCCCGGCGGAGAAGACAGAAGAATCGAATGCAGTGTTGGACCTTACATACACATTGGTTAGCCTCATGCAAGAAAGCAAAAAGGAACAACGCGAGCACAATGCCCGCATGGAGTCGCTGGTGCGTTCCATGCGTCCCATTAACGTTCGCACTGCCCCTTCTGTCACCCAAGCACCTGCTCCCGCAACCGTGGGAGCTGGCGCAGGACCGGCCCCTAGGACTGACACGTGTTATGCCTACCATCAACCCGACCACATGGCCCGAGATTGCCCCCCGCAACAAGCAAGAATAGGGGCAGCCCCGGCAGCTGCAGCTCCCTTAGCTAACGGGCCTGGACGGGTAGGAACAATGGTAGAAGAAACGAATGTGGCAATACCAAACACAGGGGTAATCAAGGAAGCCGCAGAGCTCATCCCACTGGATTAATTCCTCTCCTCGAAATATCTAGGGCTTGGGATGATAGGGGCAATCCCGCCCGCGGACGATGAGCCCGAGATTTCCGAGTGGCGACCATCCCCGGCGGAGATGGAATCCGGCGGTCCTGAGTTCGTCACTGGAAAGATCGATGTTCTGGACATTATCCAAGCTCTAGACCACCGCATTCCGCTTCCGATCGGCCACTTGTTGTCCGTATCAGAACAGGCCAATGATCGCATGCTCCAGCATTGGAAGGCCAATCAAAAACGATTCGCACTCGCCAAGCTGGCAACGGCCAAGGGGAAGGCCCCCGTAAGGGAGACAAAGTCGGATACACCTAGACCCTCAGAGCCTGTGCGCCTGGGACTTCTCTAAAAAAGCGACCATTTTTTGCGCATCAAAGTTATCCCGTGGAAGTCCGCGGAGTGTGACGTAGAGATCTGGGAAGTCCCCTACAATGCGATCCTTGATTCTGGGGCAGCAGTGTTGGCAATATCCCTGCGAGTAGTGGAACGGGAAGGAAGAAGGAAGGATCTGATCCCACTCGACGACGGAGACCGTTTGATCTCCGCCGATAAGGAGAAGATCATAGCGGTAGGAAAAATGACAAACGTCGCTTTTAAGTTGGGAAAAGTCTACGCCCTGGGTGACGTGGTGGTTCTTAATGTGAACTCGTATGACGTACTCATCGGACTGCCTGCTTAAAACGCCATACAGGCTAATCTAGACTTTGAGCGGCGGGAGGTGGTTATCAAAAACACCGGGGGTAAGCCATACGCGGTCCCCATGCGCCTCACCCTCCACACGACTACCAACCCGCCACGTGGATCTCACCCAGAGGTGGGCGGGCCGATTCGTACAGTCACCTGGGACGGACACCTAGAGGACTCGGAGACTAGAGGCGAAGAACACGGGTCCCCACTCCCCGAGGATTCGGAAAGCGAGGACGAGACAGACCCGGCGATTCAAGAGTTTCTACGAAGGGTAATTCGTTACCCAGTCCGGCAGAAAACGACGAAAATTTTCGTGCTGACCGAAGAAAATGTCCAACGAACTCGAGCTCTGATCATAGAAGAACCCCTTGTACAGGTGTCAAGGATGTCCGACTCTTCGGAACACCCTCGGACCCTGTACGAGTGCGCTACTCCCTTGCTTCCCCGATACGTAGATAAACGTTCCTTCTGCGACGTCACGAAACCCCCTCCCCGATCGCTTTTTACCACGGACAAGGAGATACGATTGCTGAGTCTGGGAGAGGAAGTACAGACTCCGGAACCCCTTGGGTGTCCCGAAGCCTCGTTGTTTGATGTCGAGATAAGAAGCGATGAGAAATCGGTGGATCCCCGGGATATCGCGGACGGGATAACCCCCGAAGAACACGTGGCCATCCGAGAGGAGGAAGCTCAGATGGTAGCCACCGTATTCTCGTGGTGGTCGGACAACTCTTTCATCTCTTCCCCGGCGCCACAGGACTCTAGGGCAGTACGTACCAAACACGTTATAGTCGATATACACGGACGGCCTTACGAATTACACATGCCAGAATATGTGTCCGACGGAACCCACCAACTTATTGCAGAGATCGTACAGGAATATCGGGGTGCTATCAGCATTGATGACGCAGACATCGGGTTATCCTTAATAATCCAACACGAGATTCAGACCGGTAATCACCCGCCGGTTCATTGCAAACCTTATCGATACTCATTGGCAGAACGAAAGGCGGCACTCGAGCGAATCCGGGAATTCGAGGCTAACGGTTGGATAGAGCCCGCTACAGGCCCTTGGTCCTTTCCGGCAGTTTTGGTTCCGAAAAAGAACGGATCGATTCGCATTTGCATTGATTATCGAAAATTGAATGACATCACGATCAAGGATGTGTACCCCGTCCCTCGGATTCATGATCTGCTGGATGCGATTGGCTGTGCGAATTATTTTAGTAAATTTGATATTCGGCACGGGTTCCACCATATCCTTGTGAGGGAAGAGGATCGGCTGAAGACGGCATTTGTCTTATTTGAGGGCACGTGGCAATGGGTTCAATGCCCTATGGGTATATGCAATACGCCGGCGACTTTTCAGCGGGCAATGAATGTCACTTTCCAGAACTTCGTAAACAAGACCAGGTTAACTCAGGGCATGATCAATTTTTGCGTTATCATGTGGACGATATTTTGGTGTATTCTGAATCATTCCATGGACACGCACAACATATTGAATGGACACTTGCCGCGTTGCGGGATGCCGGTTTCAAGATTGCGTTGGAGAAAAGTGAATTCTTCCTGTCCGAGATCTCGTTCCTGGGCTACGTGGTAACCCGAGGATGCTTGAGACCGGATTCGAGGAAGGTTGAGGTTGTTCGAGAAGCATCCACGCCCACGTCATTGACGCAGGTTCGGGCCTTCCTGGGATTAGCCTCGTACTACCGACGGTTTATCAAGGGCTTTGCGGCAATCGCTGGGCCCCTGACAAACCTCCTGCGGAAGGATCAGCCGCTGAACTGGGACACGGAGTGTGAGCAGGCCTTCTGCACTTTAAAGGAGGCCCTGGCCTCGGCCCCTATTTTAACCTGGCCCGATCCCGAGCGCCAGTTCCTACTCATTACTGACTGGCAGTCGGAGGCTATCTCCGCTATCCTAGCTCAGAAGGGGAAAGACGGGCGGGAAGTCGTGGTCGAGTATGCTTCGAGGACGGTGTCGGACGAAAGGAAGAACGACTCGGCGCCACAGGGAGAATGCTGCGCTGTCGTCTGGGGAATCCATCACTTCCACCTACATCTCTACAGGCAAAAGTTCCTCCTCGAAACGGATCACGAGCCATTGTTGGCCCTCAAAAAACTGACGAACTACGCGAGAATGATTGGGCGATGGGCGGTGAGGCTACAGGAGTATGACTTCGACATCGTCCATCGAAAAACGGAAAGGCACGAGAACGTCGACGGGTTGACACTTCTGCACCGGCCAGGCAAGGTGCCACGCAACAAGGAGATCATTCCGTGGAAGGATCCGAAGCAGCCCAAGGGACCCGGGTACGACCAAGTGAAGGTTCTCCCTCGGCAGGCGAAGAAGTGACACGTGTCCTTATGGCAACCCAGAGAGAAGAAATCGCAGAGCGCCCTCTCTCTCCTTCTTCCTCTTCTCTATTCTCCCTCCCCGATCGTTTTTATTTACTGTGTGAGTCTATCTCGCGCATCCACTTCGTCTCGGTTAGGCCGAAAAATGAAGGGTACGTCGAGTGGGTAGAGTGTGCCACGTGCGTAGTCAGGGCCCATGGATCATGCATCCAGTATAGGAATCCGCAAAAACGGTGGCTCTGCCACCTGTGCCGTACCGACAAGATTCCGACGGAGGCTCGATTTCTGGAAGCGACGTCGGAAGGACTGGAAAAGATCTTACAGTATAGACGGGCAGAGGTGTGGACAGATGTCGCTTTGATAGCAACCGTTGTAGGGAACCCTCTTCGAGAATTCTCCAAGGACGATCGGAGACGGGCCAATGAAAGGGCGTGGGACTATACTAGGTGGAATGAGGGACGGTTGGAAGAGCGAAAAACGAACGGGAGCGGAATATGGATGGTAGTTCCGCACCCGTTCATGAGGTATGACTGGGTTAAAGTAGCCCACGAATGGACAACAACCCATTTCACGGTCAGGATTACCGAGTCCGCCATCGATAAGAATGAATGGTATTGGTCCAACATTAGGGACGACGTTAAATATATTGTCAAAAACTGTTGTGTCTGTGCGGCCGACAAGGCACCGATTCAGCCACCTAGGTCGATAGTGCCCACCGTAGTCCAATGGCCATTTCAGAGGGTTAGCATGGATACGACGGATATTATCATCCCCCCTGGACCGAATAGTTGCGAATATTCAATTCTCTTGATGTTTGTCGACCACTTCTCAAAGTGGATCGAGGCCTACCCATGTCGGATAAGACAGATGGCGGAAATAGCGCGGTAGGTCAACCGTTTCCTCGGGATGCATCAGGACACCGAGGAAATCCTTACCGACAACGGAGCTGAATTCAGGGGAGAAATCCTGAGGAACCTGTTCGTACACAGAGGATCTATTCGTAATACGGTTTCCCCATATATCTCAATCGAACGACCTCGTGGAAAATGCCAACCGGGTAATTAAAACGGCACTTTGACGGAATATTGCAGCTAAGGATACGCGGCAGTGGCCTGGCATCATAGATTACATCTTAGCTATACACCGAGGCACCCCACATGAATCTACCAGACTTTCACCTTTCCAGCTACGTACCAACAACCTATCTTTTGTCTCGATACCGAACCTAAATGACGAAACGGCGCTGGACAAACGTCCCACGCGGGCGACGACCAAGAACAAGGCCACGCGCCATGTGGACCTTATGGAACGGGCCCTTCCGAGATTGGCCTAGAAAAGACAACGTATGACTGAATTGGCCCACAGACCAGGTCCGGAGTTATGAGGCCCGAAATGGGAATGCAGGCCCTCGGCCCCAGTACAAATTGGGGGACTTGGTGCAGGTAAGGAAATGTGCGCGCCAAGGTAAGCAAGCGCCACGATTCTACGGATGCTTCAGAGTGATCGAGCTCAGTCCTAACGGCGTGAACACGGTGCAGCTTGCTCCTGAGGTGTAGCCGGTCGGCTAGGCCTATCCTCCGCCACGTTATGCTTTGATTAAAGACATGTACTCCTCGGGAGTACCGGATTAGTCATACTTTGAGCTGGTAAGTCAACAAAGAAGACGCACGGCATCTTCTCGTCATTAATGTATGCACGTCAAAAGTCAACTAGTTAGGCGGATGGCTGGGTAGTTCGCACGACGAGTATCCTTTTAGTCATCCAATGCAGGCAACGTGACGACCCCAACGGAGGCCTCCATCATACTTCCTTAGTTTTCTCAACACCAAGCAGGCTAAGTTCCTTCTTGGTTCTTTCCTAGGTTCCTTTTCCTGACATCAGGCACGTTCTAATTTCAATCATATAGCCTTTTTGCTTTTGGTGCTTTAGTGCTGAAGAAAGTCATGAACAGTATATCGTACAATCATACAAGCAGTCTGATAGAAGGGCGTAGCCTGTAAGGGTATACGGGAAAGGAATAGGTGACGCGTAACTTATGGTTCCCTGCCTCCAGAGTTCCTCCTGAACTCCGACAGAGCTCCCGCAATCGCCCTGTCATCGATCTCGTATCATGCATGCAATGGGATGTCTGGACCTTTATAGGAACATATCGTTAGACAAGTTATAGTATTGAAGAGATTGGTTCATATGATCAAGCAAGGAAAAGAATGGAGGAGGATGGAGGAGATAGGCACCACCACACAATGATAATGTCTCTATCCTCTCTAATACCCCATACTTCTCAAATTTGATCCTCCCTATTTCTTTCGATATTAATCAGCCATTCAAGGACCCACAAAATGATGCTTAAGAACGAAGTGATCATAATAATAACTTTGGAAAAATACAGAGAAGAGAGAATCAAAGAGACCAGGTCAAAGGAAAGGGGAGAAGAGTGGAGGAGGCAGGTACCACCACATGGTGACGATGTTCCTTCCTTTTTAGCGTACTGCACCTCCTTCTTCCCTGTCTCATGATGTTCAATATCAGGGATATTCTTAATATTCAGTAGAATAATAATAACAATAATAATAGTAATAACAATAAACAATGATAATAACAATAATCATCGTATGAAATATGATTGTGAATGTCATATAGAAACTCAAGCTGCAAATCCAGCGGCTGTATGAGCTTAACCATGCATGAGTATAAAGTACAAGTGCATCGAGTATCCATCAAATAGAGCAATACAATATTAATGAGCCAATGTCCAAGCCGCATGCCACACCAATACAGTATCCAGAGTCGTTTTCTCTGTCTGGCGCCCAGTGCCCAGCCTACTCTACCATACTATCCCATGCTCCAACTGTTTTCCCTCAACAGGATCACTTTAAATCAAATTGACCCAAGTGCATGACCGCCCACACCACCGGTGACCTCTCTTCCATATTCCGGGTACGTATATCGTTACCCTCAGTCAGACCTTGATTATCCCAACTGAACACCTTACTTTTGAAGATCTCCCGCTCATCCGCTCTACCCCCTGGCGCCCAACAGCCTGGCTATGGTCACTTACGCCCCGCTGTCCCATCTAGCGTGTAGGTGCCCAGGCACAATCTTTCGCAGTTGACCCATCTTTCGCGGCCTGGGTCAACCGTTCAGCGCAGCTTGGCGGGGTTTGAGCATTTGCCCAACCAGCTGATGTGCAGCAGGAGCCTGAATACCTACATACGGAAATGTCGAATTGGGCCTGAGATGAATACTCAGGCCCGCCTTCACTTAGGGCGGCCATTTCGCTTGTTGGGCCGTAGCATAGAACAACGTGATGTCTGATAGGACGAACTGAGGGCTCGTTCTTCTCAATAATAATAATAATAATAATAATAATAATAATAATAATAATAATAATAAAAAATCAAATCAATAATAATAATAATAATAATAATAATAATAATAATAATAATAATAATAAATCAAATCAATAATAATAATAATAATAATAATAATAATAATAGTAATAATAATAACAATAATAAGAATAGTAATAATAATGCAAAAACTGTGAATACTAACGAACTTCAGCAATCAAACATCATCATGCATATGAGACCAAATAGTCTCGACCTCGAACCAATCACGAGAAACACCAAGTAGGAATCATGCCATACTGGTCTCATCATCACCATCAACGACGAACCAGAGTAGATATTCTATCTGGCGATTAGCGCCCAGACTACGTGTGGCAGATCCTGAATAGCCTGTGCTGTGGACCCACACTTGCTTGGCCCCGTTTCTTTGGATGTTTACAGAAAAGGCAGAGGAAATGTGAGTCTGCGCGTGTGAATGTATATATTCTATACAATATAGTTTGAACTTGCATTGTTTCTTCTGAACTTGTTGTTTGATCTGATGTGCAGGTAGGTAGAAGGATGCGTGAAAAAGAGGAACCTATTCATGTGAATGGAGATGAACAGAAGGATGATTGTCTTCTATTTCTCGTTTGCATGCATGTTGAAAGGAATGACAACGAGGATGGCGAAAAGGAACTTGATCACACAAAGAAGAAGAAGTCAATGGGACATAGACTTTTCCCTAAGGCTGCCCATTCTTCCCCGAATGACCCTATTTGTCGATATCCGTCCGTCTGAATATTCTTCTTCTCTGTGATCTCCTTCTTCGTCTAGGTTCGCCCTTGGCGTCAGGCGATAAGGGCTGACCGTCTGCTGTGGTAAGTGCATTTCCTTTCCCTAGGAGGCATCTGAGTCGGGGGTTCGTTGCCTTAGGGGCCGACCCTATTAACGACTCGGAGTGGACCGCTTAGGCGGGGGGATACCATGCTGTCGTGGTGGAGCCGGCCCAACTTCTGAGATCCGAGGTCCGCTCGGGCGAGGACGAGGGGTATCCCAGACCACCTCCTAGAGGGTGGATGTGTGCTACTCACGGAAGGCGTTAAGTTCTTGGCGGCTCACGTTAAGAAGAACCGCTATAAGTTTACCCTTCTAATGGCCATCTTAGGAGCCACAGACGAATGGGGAACTGGCGCCACAGGAAGCCTAGTTCGTGTGTTTACTAACTATGGACGGAGTGCGACTAGGCACTGCCTTCGCAGACAGGTTTGCGCCATAAGAAATGCAGGCCTAGGGCTATCAGGCTAGTTGACAAAAAAACGTGATTGGAGCATTGCCTTGAATACCTTTATATCGTAGTCTAGTATTTCATCACTTGAGGAATAGGAAAAGTAATTATTGCCCAAGATGACAAGGTGGCCGAGAAAATTTGAAAGCGGATCCTTGACCTTGATGGGGCATCCAGTGGTCGGTTGTTCAAGTCGAGTGCTGACTTGTATAGCAGTAGCCGGATTACTTGCAGATGGCATTCACACCTAAGTTAGAAGGATAATGAAGTCACCATTAAAGCAATGACATCATAGCTCTACGTGAGAGTTGGGAGATGTCTGCGCTTCTCTTCTAGCAGTCAGTATGGGGCGGAATGAAAGAACTTGGCAACGCATCACATCAATTTCAAAAGTCGTGTCAGCCAGCCATGTGGCAGACAGAGTGAAGATGATTCGATGAGACGCTATTCTTGCGCCGTTATGCATGTT